CCCGCTTCAGGGCTGGCGCCGGTTCCTTCCCCCTGACTGGGGAGCCGTTCGGTTGTCACCGGGGGACGGTTGTCACCGGGGGACGGTACCGCAGGGACGAGCCCTCCACGGCGGTGGCGGTGCCCAGCTGCCCCTGGCTCTTCTGGCGGTGTCGCGCTCGCAACTCGACCTGGAGTTCGAGTAGTTGACGGGACGCGCGTCGCCTGCTCACCCGGTGAAAGGGGGGCGCGTCGCTGCTTTTGGCGCGGGCTGTGCCCGTTCTGAGAAAAGCAGAGTTCGGAGTTCACGGTGGAAAGTACTGGGCAGGTCCGGTGGGAAGGCAGTGAGATTTCCCGCAGAAGAACGAGCATCCATTACACGCGCCATTTCGGTTTGGCAGAGACCCTGTGTGTTCAGACCTCGGCGTCAAATCCTAATTTCTGTGTTTCAGTTTATTCTATATGGCACGGTTGGTTGCACACTGAGAGCCCATCAATGGACTTGGAAGCTAAAGATGAAGAGGAAGAGAGTCTGCAAACAGCTTTCAAAAAGCTGAGGGTGGATGCAGCAGGGTAAGTGAGCAACAAAAAGGACCGTGTAATTTGTCGGTTTCTTACCACCTATTTGTATTTGTTTTCTATTATTTTGAATCTCAAATGTCATTTGGTGAAAGGTTCCTTACACTCCAAGAGGAGACAACTGCGTCACTTCACATGAAATGCAGTCATTATAACTGTCTAATAGGCAAAGCAGTGCTTTATTACTGACTAATTTTGACACAATATCCAATGAAAATTACACAGCGACTGTATGAAAACATGAAATGATTCGCCCAAAGCAGCGAACCCACTCTTAACTGTTGTGGTAGCCGAAGCTACCTTGTGTGATACAGAACTTGTTTGTCCAGTCACGTAAACGCTGGTGTCTTCAGCCACGTTACCAGCCTTTACCGTAGTGCACGAAGGTTTGCTTGGGAAGCGTCTGAAGGACGCACCATCACTTCGTAGTGCGCTGGAGAGCCCAGGCTCACTGCAAATCGTCAGGCGAAATGCGAGCACTGATCGTTTCTGGTTTCAGGGGATTTTGTGGAGTAGATTTTGTGGAGTAAACATTCACATGCAGACATTCTTATGCTAAAAACTTGTTCCATAACACACTGTGTATACTGACAATATGTCGTATAAGCGTCTTCCTTAAAAGTAATAGTTAATAAAACTATGCAGTCTTAACACTTTGTGAGGTAGTTCACGTGAAGTCTTTTGGGACGTCACAGACACAAGAGAAAGCTTTGTACTGATAATTAATGTTACCTTGTGAATTCGTCTCCATAGCCATCAATACTGCGAACTCATGACTTCCTCTGCACGTTATAATATATTTTGCTTTGCTACTTGTTTCTTCTACTTCAGGAGGTCTTCTGTTAAATGTGGAAAAAAATTACTGTTCTCTAACAAAGAGCTGTGCTTATTAAGCATACCACTTCTGATGTATTACCAGTGACAGACCATGTGGAATTCTGGCTGTTTCCTGATGATATCTTTTTAGGCATAAAAAGGTCTTGTTTTGCAGGCATGTGTTTGGAGCAGCTCAAGTCTTGTGACTAATCCCTTAAGATCAACTTTGGGCTCTTCTGCTAGAATTTCAGCCTCGTTTCTTAGAATTTCCTATCCCGTGTTCCAAATCACACATACGGCCATCATAAATACAGGTTTGCGTGCTGAGGCATTTATGTTTGTTGTCTGGACCTCCAGAGCCAGATGGTTTTTTCCGTTCTGTGTTTATCTGAGAAATTTAATGAGAAATTAATTGGTAATCTGTCCTTGTCTGTTGTACCTCATCCACTTCTCCACTGACGACTTCTCAGCCTGCTGCTATGGGTTCCTGACTGCGTTTTAGATGAGTAGGAGTCTATCTTTAACAACTATTGTCTGACAAGAACATGTGGAACCTGAGTTTACATTCCTTTAATGTGTCATTTTGGTACAAATAAGGCATGACATCAGCCTCTGGGCATTCTGGCCTCTCATTTCATCTCACCTATCTTTAGACCCTTGACTGAGGTCAGTATAGTAATTTTTATAAATCTCTGTAATAGCCCGTTTTTAACCACTAACTACAGAGGAAGTCAAGGCTGCAAACTTAAATGCCTTGGCTCAGCATCTAAAGCGAATAGGCTGACTGGAGACCTCTGAAGCAGTACGTTCAGGCACCGCGGTGATGTGGCGTTTCCCTTTTCACTCAGATGTATTGCAGCTCTGTCTGTGGGCGACGGGACGATTCTCAGAACACCGACAAGAGCAGCCATGGATGGAGCCAAGCAGCAGGCTGTCTGCTCAAAGGAAGCGTGGCACGGGTAAAACACACCGTTCACTGCACCCTGCGTGTGTTCCCGGTTTCAGAGGTTTAACACTTGCATACTGTTTCCAATGAAAGTTGTTGATCAGTTGCTTCGACATACCTTTTCTCTCCTTTCTGTTACAAAACTTTACCATAACTGTTTGATACGGTGGTTTTTAAGGGGCTTTCATCAAAGACTAAAAACAATATTGCCTCTTCTCTTAGAGAGGGTGCCTGAAACTTTGTTTTCCACTGATTTCCTTGGAAGTCCTTTTCTTGAAGTCTTACACCTTTGCAACCCCCTCTCACATCTTTCTTGGGTTATTTTCTTTATGTATTGAAGTACCTGGATATTGAGTGCAATTCTGCCAGCAGCCCCAACTGATACCCAGGTTCCGCACTACAGTTCAGCTTGGGATGACAGTTATCATTTGCTTAACACAAAAGATTTGGGGGGAAGTACCTTTAAATAAGGGCTGTTTGTATGTGTCTTTCCTTCGGGGGAGCCCCAATTTCTTCAGACTCCTCCGCTGTTCCTGTTAGAGATTGTAAGTGACCAGTCACCTGATGTTAACATACCTTTTAAAACGTTTTTAGCCACATTTTAGAGCTTATTGAGCTATGGTGTAGATTCTGGAGTTACCTACTTGCTCACCTGTTCTAACCCTGCAGGTGTGTGAGAAAGCCTTCCAGAGGATCGGCAAGAGTCCCACGTCGCAGGCGCTCCAAGTCTCCCGTCCTGCATCCTCCCAAGTTTACGTATTGCAACATGAAAGCCAACAACCAGCTGAAACACAAAACGCAGGCAGACGCGTCGAAGGGTAATACTAGTTCAGACATTTTTGTTAGAGCAGAGCACGGTACGAGGGACAGGCACGACTCTCACTTTGAGGCCAGCGATGACAGAACTGAACCTTTGGAAGCTTTCACCGCCGAGGAGCCTTTGGAGAAGTCAAGAGAGAATTACCCTACTCTCTCCTCATCCTTTGAAACTAGCTTGCATTCTAGCCAAACCTCAGATTTCCAGTCCTTATCCATGCTTAGCAACGGCAAGCAGTGCCCTTGTACGGACAAGAAGTGCCAGTGCAAACAGTGGCGAACCATGGAAGTGTACTCTTTCTCTGGCTTACGGAGCGTCCTGTCAGAATGCGAAAAGGCAGTCCTCGGAGTCCATGCCCAGTCTCTTCAAAATAGATCCCCCTGTGGGACAGCCTCGTCAAGTTCTCCTAGATCTTGCTCTGAGCAAGCTCGAGCCTTCGTGGATGACGTGACTATTGAAGACCTTTCGGGATACATGGAATACTACTTATATATTCCCAAGAAAATGTCTCACATGGCAGAAATGATGTACACTTGACTGAAAGCAACAGAGAATCCGGAATCGGAGTTTGTGATAATGGTTGGGTTAAATGCCTTGTCAGCGCCGTGTTTTCACTGTTGCGTGTTTGATCAAATGTTTCTTTGCCTCATACAGTTTAGTTTTCTAATAAAACGAAAAATGGAATATAGTTTCCGAGCTTAGTTCTAAAAAGAATGCACTAAAGTCTCTGAATACCTTAACAAAAGCACTGTAGATCAAATGACTCCCTTTGTTTTTCGGTTTGTGCTGTGGATATTCAAGCTCTGTATGCTGTTTTCACTATGTTTTGGGGAAAAAAAAAAAAAGAGCCTTTTAGGTTTTGTTCTGAAATTTTGCAGTGTTTGGAAGGTTCATCCTTAACGTGTCCCAGTACTTGGAGAAATGTTTCATAGCTACAGCTCTATCCTCCTCATCCTGCTCTAGAGAGAAGAATGAGAAGGCGTTCGGTATTTTGGATGGGATGAATCTCCTTTCCGTGAACACTATCTGGCTCCTTTTTGGTTGGATCAAATTGTGAATACTTCCTCCTCACAAATTTATTGGGAGGTCCAGAATGTGCGGGTGTGGGCTTGGACCCTTTCAAAATTTAACTAGCTCACTCTTAAGCAGTTCTATTTTTCTGCAGATAAGTGAAGCTCTTAGAAGCAAAAATATATTTTGTTATTTGTGCTTTACAGATGGAATAATTTAGGGGGAGTGAAGCAGGCTAACGGGTTTTTTTGGCCCGTGCTGTCTCAGAAGTGGAGATGGTGGAGCCACATATACAGATTGTTTCTGAGTATGTTTGATACGCAAAGCAGCGTGGAGATAGGGTAAACAAGAAGTGTGTATCATACAGGCTGTGTGGTGTAGAGCTATAACATTCCTTCTGGTTGAAAATACTGAAATAAAAAATTTTGTTGCTGAGACTTGCGTTAATAAATGTTTGTCAAAACCCAGCAAATTAAAGACTGAATAATTTGACTTACGCTCATCTGCCGTCAAGACCTTTTTTTTTTAAAAAAAAAAAACAAAAATCTGCTTTCAGCGTCAGCTGTACGCACATGCTGAACAACCGCGTTGGAGTAAAATACTGCGACTTTTACTTACTTACACGCTTAAAAGTTGCTCCAGCAAGCCAAGGAGTCACAGGCAGTTGTATAAAAATAGATTACAGCAGATGTAGACAGTTGGCCTTGTATTCCGTGCTAGAGAAGTCTCGGATGTTCTGGATGATAATCGCTGTCTGTAGGTTTTATTCTAATCGTCCCTAAAATTTACGAGTCCAGGAAGTTCAGATTTAAAGTTCGATAAGTTAACATAAGAATACAACTGAAGCTGTTATTTCGCTCTGAAGTGTCACGCAGCATGCGATACTGGCTCGTGCTCTCAAATTTAACCGATTTCTAAATTTTCTCGGGTTAGTACTTCACTGTCCCCTTCCCTTCAGCTTCCTCTTCCAGCACTATCCTGCATACCCACACGCACAGTTTTGGTTTTCTTCACTTTCCCTTCTTTCTCCCTATAGTAGATCTGGGGTAATGTGTACTTTGCTTTTAAACGTAAATATTTAATACTAGTTAGCTTTGCTGCTGCTGTTTTTCAAAGGCTATTTCTGCTTCAGCAGGGGGTGTCTGCTCACGTTTCTGTTCCATGTTTTGGTTTTGCAGCCTCTCTAAAATCGTTGGAAGGAATTGTTGCCAGAGACGGTGTTTCTCCCTTTTAGACTCTTTAACAATTACCCTGCCTCTCGGCCAGCCTTGACCTGGAGTCTGCGCATACGAGGCTGGGGCACGGATCGTTAGCATGCAGAAATACAGTTATTTAAAACCGGCATTGCTTGCTCCCGCTCCCCTCTGCAGCTGGAGCCCTACGAAGGGGCACGGCGAGGCTCTTTTCCCCAGAAATGCGGCGCGGCGGCCTGGCTCAAGGTCACCTCGGCGCAGTTGTTTCTGCTGCGGAGCACAGTCCTGCTTCTCTCTCCTCAGTAAAGCCTGCGCAAACCCCTGGGAGCGTCGAGACCTTCAAGCTGGTGTTTGTTACATAAAACCAGCAGTGACCGACGATGTTGGAAGGGCACAAGGGCCTTTTCAGCTGTGGAGCAGGACAGCGTGCAGCAGGCCCGCTGTATCTGGGGAGAGCGGGGAATTGGGGAACTGATGGAAGTTAAACTAGTCCAAGATACGCCCTGGAGTTTAGGGCTGAGAAGTGAACCCAAAGTGCCAGAAGGCCAGACGGGAGGGAAGAGTCTGCGACCAGGTTCTCTGCGCACATTTCCATAGTGTCCTGCGCAGGAGAGAAGTAACTGGTAGCGAGGGGGGGAGGAAAGGGGAAAGAAGAGACAAAAACTCAGCGGTTTCGTATTCTGCCTGAATTACCGTTTGTGCTCGTGTTTAAGCACATCCAGTGCTGCCTGCGGCAGAGGAAAGGCAGATATTTTGGGTTCTTGATTGCAACAATCAGGCTCGTAGCAAACGTACCGAAACATTGCTGCTGACATTCGCAGTGCTCAAACCATCTCCTTTGGGTGAAATGATGAGCTCTAAGAGGGGACCCAAGCCCAAACTTCCTGCTTCCTTCAGAGCCGTCCCAGTTCAGCTCGCTCACTTCACTCCTCTGATAACTGAGTGACTCCTGCTTGCCTGAAACCTCAAGCTTTACTAGCGAACAGCATCTTCTCTGGGAGTGCCTGCACGGCACGATCAGCTTGATTGATGAGCATCGGCGCTTGGCCTCAGATGTGGCCCGGTACAAGCGGTGCTGAGCACAGCCCTGCCAGCCTTACTGCTCCCAGCCTGCCGCTGTACCTGCCCCAACAAGCTTGGGGAATTCTGTCCACGGGTGCTCCAGAACATGTCCCCAGTCAATCTACAGAAGAATATGTCTAAAATTTTCTGAGAAAGCACTGGTGGGCTTGCAGCGGTCCTGGGACTTTCCTCGGATCATATCCCACCTCTCTATGTCCTGTCTCAGCAGATCCAGGCTGGGTTTTTTTCACTGGCTTCTCCCCACCCCCAGCACTTTACAAGTTACTTGCCTGTCCAGCTTCAGGACTAGTTCAACCGAAGCGGGGATGCAGAAGGGCAGCCTGGATCAATGAAATTTATTTCTCGACTTGCAGAAGCCGAACTGAGTCCTAGCTAAGCTTAACATTGGCAGACGCTGAATCAGGCCACCAGGAAAAAAAAAAAAAAAAATCAATGGAGCTGATCCTACAGGCCGATTTCCACCCCCTCCTTCTAAACAGGGAAGGTGCTTCTGTGCCTGCATGCCCGCCTCCAGCCGCCTGCTCTCTCCCGCCTGTAACATTTGCATCAGCTCTGAGACGAGACACGCCAGATTGTGTATTCCCAAACCGCCAGCACCCGCAATCCTGCCCCGATGGCACCAGGGCTCTGCTGATGCCACCGGGTCCGGCCGCACAGCATCCTGTGGGGCAGCCCAGCATCATCCCCTTTCACAGGCAGGAAGGCTGTGGGCAGGAGCTGGGGATGATCTCAAGGTCACACAAGGTCAGGACACCCCTAAAGGGGGCTGGCACCAATCCTGCCCTTCAAGCCTTGCTCAGTTTAGCAAGCCAAAACCCAGCTAAATAAATAAGCACCTCCAGAGGTGCCGCATACCTGCAGGACCCAGAGGGATGAAGCAACTTGTCATTTTTTATTTCCAACGGCGCAGCATTAATTCATCACAAAATATACCACTAGATGGGGCTTTCTGGACAGCGATCCACAGGAGAGAATCGCTTCTGCTTGGTCAAGCTGCTCCTTTCCTTTCCTTTCCTAAACCCAAAGGCGTCCCTTTCCCATGAAAGGAGCCCCAAAAGATGCTTCTTGGGCAGTGAGGGCTCTCCTGTGCAGAGCAGGTGGGAGGGGAGGCTGCAGCGCAGAGGGCAGGACAGCACCACGCGATGGGGCCAGCTTTTTGTTCTAAGCCCCATTTGCCCTGAGTTTGCAGCAGCGCAGGCCACCGCCCTGACTTTGCAGCCCCAAAGCAGAGGCCAAGCAAGAGCCTTTCCCTGTGGGTGTCCCCGAGGCCAGCGCAGGGTCTCCGGCAGCACTTGGGAAGCCCCAGGCTGGGGAGGGAGGATGGTTTTGGGGGCTGCTGCCTACGGGGGAGAAGGTAGGACAGGCACTTCCCAGCCTCACCCCTCCACCATCACCTTCCTGTGCACCCTCGGTGATGGACAGGAGGGCATCATAACACCAAAGCATTCATTTTCACCTCCCAACCCTCAGAAAATTGCTCCTTTCACTATGTTTGTGCAGCCGGGTACCAGTTTGGCCCCGCTCCCTCCCAGTGCTCTTGGGTGAAGCGTGCCTCAGTTTCCCCACTTGAACCAGCTCTCCCAAACCCTCCCCTGTTTCCCTCCACTCCTGGGGCAACCTCACCAGCTCCGGCGTAGGTGGAGATGGGAACAATGTGTGGAGGAGTCACATTCGCACCCAGAGCCCTCTCGCAGCCCCAAGACCAAGCCTGCAGAGTCCTCTCCTCCATCCTCTCCACAACTTGCCCCTATGACCCCCATAACCGGGCTGGTTCTACCCCCCGGCACTGGCAGCTAGTCCCATGTGTGGGAAATTATCTCCAGGCTGCCAGGTTGCCGGAGATGGAGCGTGACGAAGCCAAGTGTCATAAAGCACAGGCCCACATGTCCGGGTCGCTGTGTCTAGAAATGTGTCAGCTGCCTACAGGCGTTTGCCTGAAAACCTCTGGGTGCTGCTCGTAGCGCCCGGAGAGCAGCAGCTATGGAAGCCCCAGCGCTCTCTGAGCAGCAGAAACCCGGCCGGTTTGCAATTGCGACACACCTTGCTAATTCTGGAAATGACCCCCAACCGTGCCTGCTTTGGTGCAGGAGAGCTCGTCCGATTTGGCCCGGTGTCCTGGGGCTCCGGTACACAGTGAGGGCTCCTGGGCTCTACCCCGGTAAGGCCTGCACGACAACCACTAGGCAGTAGCAGTAATTAATCTGTGCTCTCCAAAAATCACTGAATACCTTTAAAGAGCCATTGCTGCTTCTTTCCATGAAGGTTGCAAGGCAGGCAAGACACCTGCTAGACATTTTAAAGCCACTATCCATCAATGTAGCTATTTATTACATATTGCCATATCTAAACCAGTCAAAAAAATCTTAATCTCTGGTGCAAAATATTCCTAAGGA